GTCCGGTGAGAGTTTGTGCCTGGAATCGTGCGGAGGCGTACGACCCAACCTGGAACAATGGCTGCGGCTGTGCGCAGGCGGGCCTTGAAGTGCTATGCCTGCTGTCCCTGCTACGATAAAATCGTGCCCGACTTGTGTATTTCGTCCTGCGTGCCCTGTGCCCTCGCCCCGTGCATCTTGACCGGAAGAGCTCGAGCTGATGCGCACCAGCCATGGCAGCACATGCAGCAGCAGCAGCAGCAGAAGATGCAGGCGCCGCCTTGCTGTCGGTGGGCGGAGATGAGCTTAGTGGGTCTTCCTTCTTTGGAGTCTGGGGCTGCGGGCCCCCTCCCCCAACATGCTGAAGTTTCTTATGCACACGATAGCCCGACTTCGGGAAGCGCCGTCGTTCATCAACCTTCAGCTGCGCAGGAACCTGTGGGTGGCGGCGTGGACCCGGACCAGTCAAGCGATGAGTCCAGCTCTGAGGACGATAACTCTAGGGTGGTGGCATACCTGGCATTGGGTTCGTTACGGTTCGTTGAGGGTGCTTTCTGAGCAGGCTGCCTGTCAACCCGAGTTCGCCAAAGCCTGGCAATTGAACTGGCAGGAGCATGCCGGCGAACACAACCTCGCAGATCATCAGCGCCGGTTGCCATGAAGTTTCGGGGGCCCGCTCACACCCTTTGGGTTTCGCGCCTGGTGGCAAGAGAGCCACAGTGATCCCTTCGCCGAAAGACCAAAAGAAGGCGATGGACGGCTTTCAAGCTGGCCCGTCAGCCGATGTGTCACTCAGTCGATCAGCCAATCAGCCAACCGATCAGCCTGCGCTGTAGCCAATCAACCAATCAGCCGATCAGCTGATTGGCTGATCGCCTCTAACCGGTTTCGGGGTCAGGGTCTTACTATAGCCCCATGTGAGGCAAAACGCTAGGCCAGCTAGGAAGCCTTTGCTCCCCCAACCCCCACATCAACCATGTACAAACAGGCTGCGCAGATTTGTGCTGCATTCGGGGCCCCTTTCTGGTCCGCTGGCGCTTCCTGCGAGTTGGTTTGGAGCTTCGGTGGGACTTTGGGACATTTTTTCGTCTTTCCTAACCCGAAACCCGACACCTTAAACCCTTAAACCCTCAACCCTTTGATGGATTTCCTGCTTAGGGAGGGTTTTCTTAGAGGATTTCAAAAGCCAACCTAGGGGGCACCCGAAGTCCCGAAACCTTAAACTTTAAGCCCCGAATCCCCAGAGGTTTAGGGTTTAGGGTTTAGGGTTTAGGCTGGCCCTAAACCCCTAATTACAACCCTGAACCCCTAAAACCTAAAGCCCCAAAACCCTAAACCCCTAGCCCAAAACCTTGAACCCCTAGACCCGAGCCCTAAACCCTAAACCCTAAACCCCGAACCCCTAAGCCAACGCCCCCAAACAAAGCTGAGGATCCAAGATGTCGGAGTTCCACTACGAGACCTGCGTGCCGACGGTGTCGGGAACTTCTCGGTTGCACGTGGCCAGTTGGCCCAATTGGGGTTTAGGGTCTAGGGTTTTTTGGGATTTAGGATTGAGGGCTTAGCGCTTATGGGGTTTAGGGCTTAGGTTTACGGGTTTAGAGTCTTGGTGTGTGGGGTTGGAATTTAGAGAGGTTTCATAGGGTCCATAGGGTTCATAGGGTTTATCGGGTTCGTAGATGGAGATGCTGATTATAAGTAGCCCTTGAACGTTAAGATTGTAGAACAATCCAGAGGAGAGCCTAAGCCCGAAATCATAAGCCTTCTAAAGCTCTAAATGCTGAAAACCCTAAACCTTTTAGAGTGAAAGGTTTACAGGGCTTAGGGGTTTAGGGTTTAGGGTTTACGTGGCTTCGGGTTTTAGGGCTTATCGGCTGAATTGAGTCCTAGGCCCCAAAAGACAGCTCTGCCCCTGAGTCAAATGATTAAAGACTCGTAGCGCTAACGTTGTACCCCTAAAGTTCCCCTCAACATACTCCTAACATGGCCCCTAAACCCTAAACTCTAAACCCTAAACCCTAAACCCTGAACCCTAAACCCTAAACCCTAAGCCCTAACTAACGGATCCTGAAGAAGGGCCCCCAAACCCAGGATGCAACTTTGAGGGTCCAAGGTATAACCCCTAGAATGAGGCTGTGTCGCCACTGCTGGATTCCGAGCAAAGGGAAGCCACCCTGCTGCAAAGTCTGAAAGAGGGGCAGATCGAAGCTGCACACCTGCAGAATGTGGAGCTGTGACCTTTGCTACAACAGCTTTTTTGGGGGTCTATAGAGGGGTTAATGTAAGGTTTTGGGGGGTTTAGTGTAGGGTTTAGGTGTAGGGTTGAGGGCCCAGGGTAGATGCAGAGTTTTTTGGCGGGTTTTGGTACCTTAGCTGTAGTTAGAGTAGAAAGGGCTCCCCTTGCTGTACAGAACGTGGAGCCATGACCTTCAACAAGAAGGTCCTCTCCCTTGGGGGTTGAACCCCAAAGCCTAAACCCTAAATCCTGCCAGACGTTTAGTTTCGAATATTGGGTTTCGGGTTGCCAGGGCACCTGAGGTAAGGTAGGTTCAACCCCCCCCCCCATCTGCATGCCAGGGACCAGACTCCAGTGCAACAAAAGTTGTAGACCGACCCTAAACCCTAAACTCCCGGAGCGTGGGCCTAGGCACCCCTGAGAGCCTTAAGAAAAAACCCAAAGCCCGTAAGCACCCTTGAATTCCTCAAAGCCCCCCCGAAGCGGCTAAGCATCCGAACAACCTCGGGCCCGAAAAGCACCTTAGAGAAGCCCAAACCCTAAACCCTAAACCCTGAACCCTGAACCCTGAACCCTAAACCCTAAACCCTAAACCCTGAACCCTGAACCCTAAACCCTAAACCCTAAACCCTAAACCCTAAACCCTAAACCCTAAACCCTAAACCCTAAACCCTAAACCCTAAACCCTAAACCCTGAACCCTGAACCCTGAACCCTGACCCCATGCTCAGGGGCCCTCCAACGGGACCTGGTTCTCCAGACATTGCGGGTAAGAGACCTAAATAGTCCCTCCGCCGGCCCCAACCTTACTTCGCCTTTAGTTGAACTTTAAACTTTTTGGGCTTCCTTATGTAGTAGGTATAGTAAAGTTTAACCTTTTTTCCCCTTGGTTATTGGAGAAGTAAGCAACCCTACAGTATTCTAATATAGCATGATGTGAAGCAGGGTTTATATTTCTGTTTTTGGTGAGTGTATATAAGGTTCCTTTTTCTAATATTGGTGGGTGTATATACCTGGTGTCCTTTTGGGGGTACAAGAAATATATACCCTGCTTAATGCATTCTGTGGTGTGTTGTGTTGTCTTGTGTTGTGGTGTGGTGTGGTGTGTTGTATTGTCTTGTATCGGTATTTCTTTGTCTTGCCTTGTCTTTATTTTATATATCGTGCGATCTTATGCTATATTTTCTGATATCATAAACCAAAAACCCGGCACCCACCAACCACCTTTGGATTGCGCATATGTATGTATGTCTATGATTACATATTTGTTTCTGCACTCATCTATCTATATTTCCATGTTTACCTTGCTGGTTCTGAGTGGCTCTTTAAACATTTTCAGAGGGTTTACAGAACCTAAACCCTGCACTCTCACCCTAAACCCTAAACCCCTCAACCCTAAGCCTATACCCTATACCCTATACCCTAAACCCTAAACCCTAAAGAACCTCCAGCATTCCTAAACCCGAAGCGAAAAAGGCGCACCGTGCCCCATCCGAAGCAGGTACCAGTGCCCGAGGCCACCAAGGCAGAGCAGTCAGAGGCTCCTTGAGTTTAGGGTTTAGGGTTTAGGGGTGCCTTCAGGGTGTTTAACTACCCTCATTGTAGTCCTTCAGTAGGACGCGCAGTGGCCCTTTTCTCCCGGTTACTCCGCTATTCCTAGGCTTGTACAAAACTTCGGGTTTAGGGTTTAGGGTTTCCCGAGCCTTTTCCCATCTACGAGCCAGCAGCTAGCCATATCCTAGAGGGTCCATTTGCTGGATTTAGCGTTTGGGGTTTAGGGGTTAGCGTTTAGTTTAGGGTTTAGGGTTTAGGGGCCTAAATCAAAGTACCATTTCATTGTACAGGAATTTGCGGCTACAGGACCCTTTTGGGGAAGCTTAGTTTGAGTTCCTTCACAAGAGCCCCGGTAGTAGTAGCATCACGTGAGAGAGTAGGATCCTCTCATACATTCATGGTCCGCCTGCAGCTTTTGGTATTCACTTCTCCCGAGCCATTTTGTCTTTTCGTTGTTTTTCTTCGGTTTACGGTTTAGGGTTTAGGGTTTAGTTTTAGGTTTTAGGATCATTTTGTTTGGGGGGGGGGGGGGGCACAAGTTCCATACGAGAGTACTCCAAATGGAGCTTTCGGGCAAGGGTTGTGAGCCAAATGCTGTGCACCTGAACCTCGATTTCTTGTAGGTTATCCCCAGAAAACTTGAACCCTGATCTCCTAACCCTCTAAACCCTAGACCCTAGACCCAAAACCCTTCTAAACCCTACTAAACCCTACGAAACCCCAACAAACCCAAAACCCTAAACGCCAAGCCCTAAACCCTATAAACCCTAAACCCGAAACCCTAAACCCTGAACCCTGAACCCTGAACCCTGAACCCTAGCCCTAAACCCTAAACCCCAACACACCCTCTAAGACCCTCTCTAGGCGTCCCAGCTGCTCGTGTCCTACCGCGGCCAGCGCCGACCCGCGGAGCGTCCTGGGCCCAACGAGGCCTGGTCTTGGGGTTTTGGGGTTGAGGGTTTAGGGTTTCGGGTTTAGGTATCATGGTTCAAGGTTCGGGGCTTAGGGTTTAGGTTTAGGGCTAGGGTTTCGGGTTTAGGGTTCAGGGTTCAGGGTTCAGGGTTTGGCGCTTCGGGTTGAGGGTTTAGAGTTTTGGTTTCGGGGCTTAGGTTTCGGGTTTAGGGTAGGGTTTAGGGCTTTGGGGGTGTTGGGGTGTTAGGGCTGAGGGCTGTAGGGTTTTAAGGTTTAGAGGCTTTAGAGGCATCAGGCGTTCTAGGTTTAGGACTTTCTCATTGTTAGGGCTGTTAGGGTTTAGGGCTTAGGGTTTTTACGGGTTTCAGGTTTCAGGATTCTTGGGGTTTAGGGTTTTAGGATTTGGATTTTCGGGTTTAGGGTTTAGGGTTTAGGGTAAGGGTGGGTGTCAGGTGTTTGGCTTTAGGGTTTTGGCTTCAGGTTGTGAGGGCCGCAGCTTGTGAAGGGTTCAAGCTGTTGGGTTCAAGCTGTTGTGTAATCTAAGGGAGGTACATGGTCCCTTAATATGGCCCCTCATCGTCTCTACAGGGTTATGAAGTATGGGCCCTTGGGTTTTATGGGGTATAGAAGGGTTTTTTGTCAGGGTTCCCCAACAAGGGCCCATATTCAGGGACCATGCAACTACCGTAAGATTTAACAATCCTAAACTCTAAGCCCTCAACCCTGAACCGTCAAGCCTCAACCCTCGCATGTTTTCAGGGGCGGGTGAGAGAAAAGATTTAAAAAAAAGCTGCAAAGCCAGAATGGACCCCGGATTCCCTCGAATCAGAAAAGGCAGCATGGCGCGGAATGCCTAAAGGTTTGTTTAGGGTTTAGGGTTTAGGGTTTAGGGTTTAGGGTTTTAGGGTTTTAGGGTTTTAGGGTTTTAGGGTTTTAGGGTTTTAGGGTTTTGGGGTTTTAGGGTTTTAGGGTTTTAGGGTTTCAGGGTTTCAGGGTTTCAGGGTTTCAGGGTTTTGCGTTTAGGGTTTGGAGGGTTTAGGGCTATGGGTTTTAAGGACAGTAGGGGGCTTTAGGGGCCTGAGGGTTTTAGAGGCTTTAGGGCGTTTAGGGGCTTTAGGGATTTTGCGCACTTTGGGGGGTGTTAGGGGCGTTTAGGGGTTTAGGGTTTTAGGGTTTCGGGCTGCAGGGTCGGGGGCTTCAGGGGCTTTAGGGTTTAGGGTTGACTGTAAACCTAGAACTGGGTCCTTGTTGCCGTAACTTCACCTTACATGTAGTCATGTCTCTAGGTATAGAGCGGCCTTGTTGCCCCAACTCGATTTGGCTCCCCTTCCAACCCCCCCCCCCCCCCCCGCCCCGCAGAATCGAACCCTACACCATTCTTCAGTCCGGAGCCCTTTGCCCCAAGCCTCTAAGCCAAATCCTAAGCCCTAAGCCCTAAGCCCTATGACCTAAGCCCCTGAGCCCTAAAACGCTAAGCCCTGTACTATACCCCAACAAACCCTAAAGCAGCAATTGTTGCATGCCCTTTGCTTGGGGGGGAAGGCTGGCTCCTCCGTGCTGGCGTCGCCGGAGCTCTTGGTTTCTTTCTGGGCCCGTTTCGGGTTTAGGGTTTAGGGTTTAGGGTTTAGGGTTTAGGGTTTAGGGTTTAGGGTTTAGGGTTTAGGTTAAGGGTTTAGGGTTGGAGGGTGCAGTCAGTTTTTGGGTTGGCTTTTCCGAGCCCATAGAACCCGCAGATGTATATTACCTATACGGGGGTTTACAAGAATATGGGACCCCTAGTATAGAGCCCCAAATAGTAGGATCCCCTTAGAATAGGGATCTCAATAAGGTACGCCTAAGTCCGGAACCCTCGTGTGTTTACTGCAGGTGTGCAGGCTTTCGGCTGTTGTTGAAGGTTTGGGGCTTTAGGACCCTAAGCCCTAAACCCTAAACCCTAAACCTTAAACCCTAAACCCTAAATCCTAAATCCTAAACCCTAAACGGGGGGAGGGGATGGGTTGCCTCTCCGAGGTCCCTGTAGGACCCCATCGTCGACCTTAGGGGGTGGGAAACAAGTGGTGTTTCGGGTGTTGGGGTTTAGGGTTTAGGGTTTATGGTTTCGGGTTTAGGGTTTAGGGTTTAGGGTTTAGGGTTTAGGGTTTCGGGTTTCGGGTTTAGGGTTTAGGGTTTAGGGTTTAGGGCCTAGGGGTGGGGGGTTTCTTAAGGGTATAAGGTGGGACTCCTAGAAGGGACCCTACCTAAGGATTCCCTAAACCCTAAACCCTAAACCCTAAACCCTAAACCCTAAACCCTAAACCCTAAACCCTAAACCCTAAACCCTAAACCCTAAACCCTAAACCCTAAACCCTAAACCCTAAACCCTTTCCGTTAAAAGGGTCCCTCCTTTGTTTCCTTGAGTTCACGGCTTTTTGGGTTTCCTAAGCGGCGTTGGTGCCATCAATGATCGTGCCATCTTCCGCAGTGATGCTGCAGATTCGTGCTTAGGGTTTGGGGTTTATAGGGTATATATAGGGTTTAGGGTTTAGGGTTTAGGGCTTAGGGCTTAGGGTTTTGTGTTTAGGGTTTAGGGTTTAGGGTTTATAGGGTATAGGGTTTAGGGTTTATAGGGTTTAGGGTTTAGGGGTTAGAGTGGCGGCACAGGCCCACGCAGCGAAGATCGTGCAAGCGCCCTGCTCCAGCAGCGCTTCATCCAGCACAGGTCCCCCGCAGACGCCGAGGTGCCCCCACTTCCGCAAGCCCCGAGAGCTGCACCAAGACTCGCGCAAAGCAACGGGGAAGAGACATCTGAGGAAGGTGTCCGTCGAAGAAGAGTTCTCGCTGATGCAACCCTGGGTCATGTCTGACGCATGCAACTCTTTTCCATGGCTTCTGGCAGAAGCCCACACCCCAAACACTAAACCCTAAACCCTAAACCCTAAACCCTAAACCCTAAACCCTAAACCCTAAACCCTAAACCCTAAACCGACGATGTAGGATGTATCTACCAAACCCCCTACTTCGAAACCACGGCAGACGAAGCCCTAAACCCTCTGCCGTCACGCATTTTCAGATACAAGCTGTGGTCATTAAAGCACGGATTTCCAGATGGTTTAGGGGCTTAGGGGCTTAGGAGCTTAGGGGCTTAGGGGGCTTCGGGGTTTAGGGTTTCCCGAATAATCCCTAACTTGCAACTTACAAGGCCAAGATCTAAGACGTCAGCAACAGGGGATAATGTAGGTACCCTAAACTTGGCTTGTTCGCCCTTGTACTAGCAGGACTGTAATAGGGGGTACTATAATAATCCCTACTAAGGACTGTTAGTATAAGGGGGGAGCATCCCAACCCTGAGCCTTGACTTGTCGTAGGCTCCTCGAGAAGTTTCCCTGCTTAACTTCGAGGCTAAACCTGAAACAACAAGTAAGCCAAGCTGCTCAACCCCAATCCCTAAACCCTAAACCCTAAACCCTAAACCCATTACCGCCCATACCCGAACACCCGAACAGTCCGAAAGCCCTAGGCCTGGCGTCGAGGCCACACCAAGAGCTTCCCCTATGCCCAGTTGCACACGCTAAGCCTCGAAGCCGAAACCCTAAACCCTAAAACCCTAAAACCCTAAACCCTGAACCCTGAACCCTAAACCCTAAACCCTAAACCCTAAACCATAGCCCTAACCCTAAGCCCTAAACCCTAAGCCCTAACCCTAAGCCTAAACATTATAGCCCCAACCCCGATAAGCCCTCAGCTCTAAACCCGAAACTGCTGCACCCTAAGCTCCTAAACGCTAGACTCCTAGACACTACAAGGCCTAACCCTAAACCCGAAACCCGAAACCCGAAGCCCTGAACTCTCCGCATGCTCCATATTAAGGCTGGCGAAGCCTTTTCTCCAGCTGTTTCCGGAGGATTGACCACACGCTCGGGGGGTGCGGGGGGATCCCATTACAAACCCTAAACCCTAAACCCTAAACCTCTAAACCCCGAGGCCAGAGTGATTGCTAAACCCTTAAGCTCGAATCAGAGCTGGGTGGACTCAAAGGACCCTTACTTGGAGGTTCAGAGTACTCTAACCCCAATTATAACTGTACTTATAAGCCCCCTAAGTCCCCTAAGTCCTCTAAGTAGGTCATAAATTGACTGAAAATTGGGGTTAGAAGTACCCATGAGCCTCCAAGTACCCCGTGTTTATAGGGATCCGAAGTATGGGCCCTTATGATGTACAGTGTATATAAGGGCAATATCACAAGGGACCCAAAGGGGGGCGGGTGTCGGGGGCGCGGGTAGGAGGGTTGCAGACTAAGGGATGCTAGCTTTACCCCGCAAACCCAAGTTCTTTCCTAAAGCCTTCAGCCGCTTTGGCCTGCGCCCTACGTCCTTCTTTCCTATACGCCCTAAATCCCTGAATCCTATTCTCGCAAAAACCTCCCAGGACGCTGCCCTGCTACAGGATGCAAGCATCTGCATGCGGCCATCTCAGCACATTACCTTGGCAGGTTCTAGGTTTCAGGGCTGGGGCTTAGGCATTGAGGGTTTTTGTTCATGTTCATTTTGGGTTTAGGGGCTTTTTTGTCCCTTGACGACCCAGCCTAACTTCCCCCAGCCCGAATTCAGGCCCTAAGCCCCAAACTCCAAACCCGAAACCCGAAGCCCTGAACCCTAAACCGCCATCGCGCTTCTCGGGCCTGCTTTTGGGTGGTTGGGTTTTGGGGGTCAGTTGGGATGTTCCCCCTCATACTAACAGTCCGTAAGAGAGAGATTCTAGTACTCCCGGCCCCCCCATTTGGCTCCCTAGTAAGGACCCTGAACCCTAAACCCTAACCCTAAACCCTAAACCCTAAACCCTAAACCCTAAACCCTAAACCCTAAACCCTAAACCCTAAACCCTAAAGGGTGAGAAGCGCATTCAGGCTCCGCGTGCTGCCCTCGGGCGAGAATCTGTCGGCCGGCGAGGCACGACAGGGGGCGTTCGGCATGGCTTAGGGTTTAGGGTTTACTGTAGGATTTAGGGTTTAGGGTTTAGGGTTTAGGGTTTCGGGTTTAAGGTTTAGGGCTAGGGTTTAGGGTTCAGGCAGTTTAGGGAGTTTAGGGATTTCGGGTCTAGGGTCTGGGGTTGAAAGTTCTTGGGGGCCCACTTTGGGGTTTGGGGCTTCCAGGGTCCCTGGTGCAGGGTTTTGGGTTTGGGGCTTTGGGGTTTGAGGTTTAGGGTTTTGGGTTTTTGGGCATTGGGGTTCAGGGATTAGGGTTCGTGGGCTTTGGGGTTTAGGGTTTAGGGTTGTGGGTCCTAGAAACTTCATTCAGTTGAAGGCGCATCTCACGGCCTTAAGGAGACTTGGCGAGGTCCATGGGTCGAGGAGTTTAGGGTTTCGGCCTTCAACCCCGAAACTCCTCAAGCCTCCAAGCCTCCGAACTTTGAACTCTTCAATTAAGCCCTCAGCCCTAAACCCTAAACCCTACACCCTACACCCTAAACCCTAAACCCGAGCCAGACACCCCAAAGTAAGCCCTAAGCCCCTGGAGCCGCTAAACCGCTCTAAACGGAGCCCCAAGAGAACTAAGCCTTGCTTTTTACCCCCAAGCCCTAAACCCTAGCCCTAAACCCTTAGCCCTTAACCCTTAACCCTAAACCCTTAACCCTTAATCCTTAACCCTTAATGAACCCTAAACCCTAAATCCTAAACCCTAAAACCCTAAACCCTAAACCCTAAACCCTAAACCCTAAACCCTAAACCCTAAACCCTAAACCCTAAACCCTAAACCCTAAACCCTAAACCCTAAACCCTAAACCCTAAACCCTAAACCCTAAACCCTAAACCCTAAACCCTAAACTAAACCTAAACCCTAAACCCTAAACCCTAAACCCTAAACCCTAAACCCTAAACCCTAAACCCTAAACCCTAACCCTAAACCCTAAACCCCAAACCCCAAACCCCAAATCCCAACCCAAAAAAAAAAAACAAAGAGCCCTTACACAGGCCGCGGTGCGGCTGTCCGAGCCGGGATCCGAGGAGCTGCGACTAAGAACTCTGGAGGGCCCGAGGGGCGGAGGGTTAGGGTTTAGGGTTTAGGGTTTAGGGTTTCGGGCTTCGGGTTTAGGGCTTGGGGTTCAGGATGTTGTGTTTAGGATTTCGGGTGTAGGGTTTGGGTTTTTTTGGGGTTTACGTAGGAAAGAATTCGAAAGCAAAGCCGGGGGCTGAGTTGTTTTTGCTCAGGCCAACTTTAAGAGTTCAGGGCTTAGTTCAGGATCGTAGTACCCTAAGCCCTAAACCCTAAACCCTAAACCCTAAACCCTAAACCCTAAACCCTAAACCCTAAACCCTAAACCCTAAACCCTAAACCCTAAACCCTAAACCCTAAACCCTAAACCCTAAACCCTAAACCCAAACCCTAAATCCCTCATGATACTTATAGGGTTTAGGGTTTAGGGTTTAGGTTTTAAGGTTATAACTGTACTTATAGGTGTACTTATAACCATGTTAGGGCACTTGCTAGGGGCTCATAGGCGGGGTTCTAGGTACAGTTATGCTTGGTTAATGAGTACCATGAAATATAAACCCTAAACCCTATACCCCAAACTCTAAACCCTAAACCCTAAACCCTAAACCCTAAACCCTATAATTGGTTAACAAGTACCATGAGCCTCCAAGCAGGGCATGCCGCGCTGGTCTCAAGAGAGGAAGGTCAAACGCCAGCGCACGTTGTGATCGGGAGGTCCAAGGCAGAGATGTCTTGCGGAAAGGTGTGCAGGTCTACTGGCCCGAAATCCGAAGTACGGCAGTTTTCTGATCTACCTGATTGGTGCAGACCTCAAGGCCGAAACGGGCATGAAAACCCAGATGGCAGAGGACGGCTTGCACATTTTCAGCTTGCTGTCTCAGGGACAAGCAGCAGAGGAATCAAACAAAAAGGCCTGCATGGAGTCCCTCGAATGCACCTTCGCCAAACGTCGCTGGCGGGATATGCAGCATATGTACAGTCACATTGAGGCCGAAATGGTGGCGGCGGATTCTGCCATGGTGCGAAGCACTTCTTGTGTTGCAGGGCCCCCCCCGCCCCCCAATAAGTTTCCCGCTAAACCTGTAAACCCTGAACCCTAAACCCTAGACCCTAACCCTAAACCCTAAACCCTAACCCTAAACTCCTATACATTCGGAGTGTGTGTTGAAAGCTCCGATAGCTCTCAGCCTGCGAAGTCAAAGCACCCCATGCACCAACCTATGGAAGAGTTGTCAGCAAGGGCAACCCTGAACCCTAAACCGAAATGCCCTAGACCCGAAAGGCTAACGGTAAATCCTAGTCGCAAACCACCCTAAGGGCACTAAGAACCCTCTACACCTGGCTAAAGCACCAGACCCTACAACCCCTTCTAGCAAGAAAAGAAGGGGGGGCCTTTTTTCACCCTAGACTCTAAACCCCGAAACCCTAAACCTTAAACCCTAAGCTCTAAACCCTAAACCCTAAACCCAAAACCCTAAACCCTATGTCAAGGAACTAAAGGAGGAACCCTTAACCCTAAACCCCAGCGCCCCCGTAGCCTTGGGCAGGAGGTGGCGTTGTGCCCCGGCCGCGTGCCCTACTCACAAGGCTGCTCTGGAGGGGTGTGGGTTTAGGGTTTAGGGATTTTTAGGCTTAGGGTTTAGGGTTTAGGGTTTAGGGTTTAGGGTTTAGGCTTTAGGGTTTAGGGGAGGAAGCCTCTGATAAGCCACAAAGTCCTAAGAAGCTGGGTTCGGAGCTCTGGGCTTCTAGATTTTTAGGGTTTCGGACTGTCGGTTTTTCCGGTTTCAGTCTTTACAACCCCCAAGCTTACCCTAAACCCCAAACCCTAAACCCTAAACCCTTAAACCCTAGCCCTAAACCCTAAACCCCTTCAGTGGTTGACGGTCTCAAGCCCTGCAGTGTTGGACCCCCAAAGTCCTGGAAACTTGGGAGTTTCTGGATGTAGGGTTTTTTGATTTTTGTTTACGGGTTTGTTGGGTTTTTTTGGGGTGCGTTTAAGGGTTTTTGAAAGGTTTGGGGTTTAGGGCTTCGGGGCCGTTTTTTTTTTTTGGGGGGGGGGGAGGTTTTAGTGTCTTTTAAAGTTTTGGGGCTTAGGGCTTCGGGATGTTGTGGGTGTTGAGGGTGTCTAGGGCTTTGGGGGGTTTGGGGGGTTTGGGGGGGGTGGGGGGGGGTTGGGGGGTTTTAGGGTTTTTGGGGTTTCGGGTTTTGGTGTATCGGGCATCGGGGTTTGGTGTTCTTGGGTTTGAGCTTCGGGGTTTAGGCTTTTCAGGCATTGATTCTGGTTGAGGGCTTGCAGATGCTGTTTAGTCGAGTGTCCCCAAACCCTTAACCCTAAACCCTAAACCCTAAACCCTAAACCCTATGCGGAGGCAGCGTGGTCCGGGGAGTTTTCCGAGAAGTCGTCGACTTCTTGATGTACACGCCTGGCTCTCGGACCTCAGTGGGCACAGGGCTTGGGGACAAAACGAGAATCCCCATAAATCCGTTTAGGGTTTAGGGTTTAGGGTTTAGGGTTTAGCTTGGGATATTCCCCCTTATACTAACAGTCCTGAGTAGGGATTAGAATAGGGGGGGTACTATAATCCCTATGAAGGACTGTTGGTGTAGGGGGGGAACATCCCAACCTAAATCCGACTCCCTAAGCCCTAAATGCTGTTTAGGGTTCAGGGTTCAGGGTTCAGGGTTTAGGGTTTAGGGTTTAGGGTTTAGGATGGTATAGGGTTTACAGACCTTGGCCTCCCATCTCAGGTTGTGCCAGAACAGAGATGCTGGCAATCGCCAGTTGGCCAACGACGCCGTGAAAGAAACGGAGGTCAGAAGAGGCGGAAGGCCGGAAATACTTGTCGAAGGGCTGCTCCTTCGACTTCCTCGTTTCCGGGGATCGCTTGGGCCAGGCCTAAGCTCCACCACCGGGGTGCCAGAGCTCGACGCACGTGCTCAGCCGCCTGGCTCCGAGGCCGACAATTTCACATGGACCTGTTTTTAGCATGGGGGTTTCCGAATTAGGGGCACCTTTTTGGGATCCTTTTTAAGGGTTGGAGGGCATATTAGGGGTCCCTTATTTTCTTCGTAAATCCCTAAATAAGCAACCATGCCATAAGGGAAGCCCTGTGGATATTTCATACGCTAAACTTCAGGGGTAAACGAAGGTATATAACCTTCATAGATACCTTATAGCGTCCCTATGTACGTAAGTAGCCCCCAAAAAACCCCTAAACAACCCCTAGGGTCCGTTGAGCCCATGTAAGGGTCCCTCCTTTAGTCCCTTGATAAACCCTCGTGAAACCCCCAAACCCAGACCCTGCCCCTCGACTCTCCGGAACCCCCGGAGACCCCAAACCCCTACATTTTGACACCTCACCCGAACCAACAAAACCCTAACCCCCAAGATTCTGATACCCTTAACCCTAAGTTGAAGGCCGAAAATCCTGAATCCTTATACTTATACCCCCCCAAACCCTAAACCAAAAACCCTAAACCCTAAACCCCAAACCCTAAACCCGAAACCCTAAACCCTAAACCCTAAACCCTAAACCCTAAACCCTAAACCTACAGTGTACAGTTGAGTAGAAGTTGTCCCGAAACATCTGCAGGACGGTTGGACCCATGAGTCGACACCAGCAGCCCGAAGCTCTCAACACCCAGCCCTTAGTTTAGGGTTTAGGGTTTAGGGTTTAGGGTTTAGGGTTTAGGGTTTAGGGTTTAGGGTTTAGGGTTTAGGGTTTAGGGTTTAGGGTTTAGGGTTCCTTGTGGTGTCGGAGAGCCCAGGTCTTTCGGCGCTGCGAACAGCGCCGTGCCGACGCAAAGTTCGAAGGATCGGGTCTGTAGGGTTTAGACACCGAAACCCTAAACCCTAAACCCTAAACCCTAAACCCTAAACCCTAAACCCTAAACCCTAAACCCTAAACCCTAAACCCTAAACCCTAAACCCTAAACCCTAAACCCTAAGCCTGGGTGTAGGGGTAGCCCTAAATCCTCCTGTGTCGAACCCTAGAAAGCTTCAAGCCCCGAACCAAGGGTTGTGGATTTGCGGTTTCGGGTTTCAGGGCTTAATTAGGGCTGAGGGAGCAGGGTCGTCTGTAAGTAAAGCCAGCTTTGTACATCCGAGGTCCTCTTTTTCTTTAGGGTTTTGGGACCCCGAACCGACCCTGAACCCTAAACCCTATAGCCCAAACCCCTAAGCCACGTACGAAATCTCTGAAGCTCTCCGTGAACAATAGCGAACTCGCGCCATAGACAAGTGGAGCCGGTGATTTTCCTTCAGTCCCCCCCCCCCCCCCCCCCAAACCCTAAACCCTAAACCCTAAACCCTAAACCCTAAACCCTAAACCCTAAACCCCAAGCCCTAAACTGCTGTTAACTCGACAACCCTCCACGGCGGCGGCATCCCTGGCTTGTTTCCTGCTGTATCATGTTCTTTGCACATGTTCTGATGTTCGGTCTTGTCCTATTCTCTTCTTGCTTCAGGCTTTTCGCCGAGTCACCGGTTTTCATGTACTGTCTTGCCTGTTTAGGGTTTAGGGTTTAGGCTTTTGTGTTAGGGTTTAGGGTTTAGGGTTGAGGGTTGAGGGTTGAGGGTTTAGTTTCCTTTCACAATGTGGATTCAAAGGCGTGAGTTCAGGGGAGTGTATGCAAAAGCTGGCTCTCGAACCCCCCAAAACCCCGAACCCAAACCCCTGCACCTCAATCCCAAACCTCAAACCACCCTTACCTAAACCTTATAAACCCCAAACCACAAGCCCTAAACCCCCAAACCCTCAAGTCTCAACCCAAACCCTAAACCCCAAACCCTAAACCCCAAACCCCAAACCCCAAACCCTAAACCCTAAACCCTTAACCAGGACGCGGTGTCCCGTAACGGATTCACACCAGCAGTGGCGTTGAGACTACAGGCCTGCACCACGGTTTTGGGTTCAGGGATTACAGTTTAGGGTTTAGGGTTTAAGGTTTAGGTTTAGGGTTTAGGGTTTAGGGTTTGGAACCCCCTTTGCGCAGGGTTTTTTGAAAGCTCTGACCTTTGGTAAAGGTTGGACCCATCCAGGCCCGGGGGAAGCCCTGAGACTGTTCTGGTCCCGCAAGCCCCTACCCCGCGCTGCTTCAACCCAGTTTAGGGTTTAGGGTTTAGGGTTTAGGGTTTAGGGTTTAGGGTTTAGGGTTTAGGGTTTAGGGTTTAGGGTTTATTGTATAACTTAGGGTCCATGTAGCTAAATAGGGAGTACTTGGGCCTTAAAAGTACCTCCTATATAGGGACTTTGGGGCCCAAGTATTCCCCATTTAGGTACATGGACCCTTAGGGATTGTATAACCCACATACCACGAAAGCCGCCACGAAATCCATCACGACATCCATCCATGCATCAACGGTAACGAAACGACATAACAGCAACCTTCTAACCCTAAACCCTAAAGCCGCTGAACCCCGCCATGCTTTCGGGAATTCCAGACCTCCCGCGGGCGCGCGACGGGAGAGTGCGCCCCTAAATATAGAAAAGGTGCACAGAACAATCCCCGCCGCATACACTGATATGCGCCCTAAACCCTAAACCCTGAACCCTGAACCCTAAACCATAAACCCTAAACCCTAAACCCCAAACCCTAAACCCTAAACCCTAAACCCTACCCCCTGAGCCTCACGCTGCTAGGCCCTTTTGCTGGAGACCTTGTTGCTGCTATCCGCAGTCGGCGTCCCAGAAAGCTTTTGGGCACCTCGGGGGCTTCTAGGGTTGAGGATTGGGGGTTTAGGGTTTGGGGTTGAGGGTTGAGGGTTGAGGGTTTGGGGGTTTAGGGCTTGGGGTTTGGGGTTTAGGGTTGAGGATTTCCTAATCATTAGGGGGTTTAGGGTTTAGGGTTTGGGGTTTGGGGTTTAGGGTTGAGGATTTTAGGGTTTGGGGTTTAGGGTTTGGGGTTGAGGGTTGAGGGTTTGGGGGTTTAGGGCTTGGGGTTCGGGGTTTAGGGTTGAGGATTTCCTAATCATTAGGGGATTTAGGGTTTAGGGTTTGGGGTTTGGGGTTTAGGGTTGAGGATTAGGATTTGGGGGTTTAGGGTTTGGGGTTTAGGGTTTGGGGTTGAGGGTTGAGGGTTTGGGGGTTTAGGGCTTGGGGTTCGGGGTTTTGGGTTGAGGATTTCCTAATCATTAGGGGGTTTAGGGTTTGGGGTTTGGGGTTCAGGGTTTGGGGTTTAGGGTTTAGGGTTTGGGGTTGAGGGTTGAGGGTTTGGGGGTTTAGGGCTTGGGGTTTGGGGTTAAGGGTTGAGGACTCCCTAATCATTAGGGGGTTTAGGGTTTGGGGTTTGGGGTTTAGGGTTTAGGGTTTAAGGTTGAGGATTTGGGGGTTTAGGGTTTAGGGGTTGAGGGTTTAGGGTTAGAGTTTTGGGTTTCAAGGTTTGAGGGTCTAAGGTTTAGGGTCTGGTGCCAAGATTTACGGACCTCCCGGCCCCCTCACACTACTCGCCGCCAAAGCTAGCCCCTAGACCCCAGACCCTAAATCCGAAACCTAGCCACGTACACCCTACGACCATAGACCCTAAACTCTCAACCCTAGCCCTAAACCCTACTCCCTAAACCCTAAACCCCAAACCCTAAACCCTAAACCCGAAACCCGAAGCCTCATTCAGACCCCCTTCCAGGCAGTGGCTCGGCCCCGTGAACCGGACGAGGACATGCGGGCTTTGGGGAGTTTGGAGGTAGGGGGTTTTAGGTTTCGGGCTTCAGTTTTTTGATGTTTAGGGTTTAGGGTTTTTGATGTTTAGGGTTTAGGGTTTAGGGGCGGGTTTAGGGTTGAATTGGGGCTTAGGATTTTGGAAGAGATATTTCAAGGTGTCATATTTTCCCTTTCAGAAGGATTTGACGCCAAGATAGATGAGGGTTTCCGGTGTAAGGCCTGGGTCTTGGGGCATAGGGTTTAGGGTTTAGGGTATAGGATTTAGGGTTTAGGGGTTTTAAAGCCTTTAGGTAGCCCAGCGGTGCCCTGTTCCCCTTTTTTTTGGTTTTCAGGTCCCCTTCTAAAGTAACCAACCCCCCCAACAGTGTACTCTTGTTCATAATGTGGTTGCTGGGCTACCCGGGTTTAGGATTTAGGGTTCAGGGTTCAGGGTTCAGGGTTTAGGGTTTAGGGTTTAGGGTTTAGGCCTAGGGTTTAGGGGGGGTTGTTAAAGCTTCGGACTTGGCTGGGTTTAGGGTTTTCGGCTTTCAATCTTGGGGGACTGAAGTTTCGAAGGCAGGGCCCAGAGGTTCGAGGACTTAAGGTTTGTAGGGTCTGGGGTTTAGGTTTCAGGGTCTAGGGCTTAGGGTTTAGGGTGTAAAGCTGCGGGAAAAGGTTCGGCATGTTCCATAGTGGGGTTTAGGATGTTAGGGATTGGGCAATACACCCGAGAACCAGAAACAAGTCCTGGACTCTTAGACGCCCCAAACCCCATAAACGGCTACCCTATTGAAGCCCTGGCACTTAGCCTGATTCCTTCCTTTGGGGTTTAGGTTCCCTTACAAGCCTTTTACAAAAAGGCGCACTCTTTTACTCCTAAGTTCAGAGGCCTTAGCCTCAACTCAGTGGATCGTAGTAGGGAAAGCGCCCAACCTGCGGCACTGTGGCAGCTGCAAGTGGCAGTCGTGGGGAGGAGGGCCCTAAAACTACGTCTCGAATCAACCCCAAACCCTAAACCCTAAAGCCCAAGACCTGCAAACAAAAATGCCAAGCTTACACCCTAAATTGACTAAACGCCTAAGCCCAAACACTACCAGCTCCTATACACACACCAAATCTACCAAACTCCTGAACCCTAAGCCCTCAACCCCAAAACCCTAAACTCTACATCTACTAACCTCCGAAGCCCGAAACCTCAACATCCAGGAACAGCTTGAGGTGCGTGCTGCGCGCGGCTCCCAGCAGGGATGTCCTTGTTGGACAGATTGTTTATGAAGTTGCTGGTTTGGGGGTTTAGGGGTTTAGGGTTTGGGGTTTGGGGTTTGGGGTTTGGAGTTTGGGTTTGGGGTTTAGTTCTACTTTCTCCGAATTGCCTCACCAGGCCCAATTTTGACTTGAACCTGGGGCCCAGAGAAGCTTGTAGCCTAAAGGTTTAGGGTTTAGGGTTTAGAGTTTGGGGTTTAGGCTTTGGGGTTTAGGGTTAAACCCTAAACCTAAATCCTGAACCCTAAACCCTAAACCCTTAAACCCTAAACCCAGAAGCCCTGGCGTGAAATTGTTCTAAGGTCGGAACCCTGGGCCCTTAGTGTGTTCCCTTGCCCCTGTTTACAGTATGCATACTCGGTAGGCCCTTGGGACACTTGAAATTTTCCCTTTTTGGGTTTAGGAGGACTGTTTTTAGGAATAGTTCCGTCAGAGGGCTTTAATCCAAGTAAAGAAGCAGTGGCAGGGGAAGGGGAGTTCTACGCGAGACCCTAAACCCTAAACCCTAAACCCGAAACCCTAAACCCTAAACCCTAAACCCTAAACCACTGCGAGCAGCTGGACACGGATGTAGCCATGCCAATGCACCCGTGCAGTGAGCAGCAGTGGCTCCGACCACTTGATCGGCATCTGCGAAGTTTCTGCCGGTTTAGGGTTTAGGGTTTAGGGTTTAGGGTTTAGGGTTTAGGGTTTAGGGTTTCCAAGGAGTGGCAGATGAGGGTCAAGCCACGGGAGCTCGACATTTACAGCACCCAGCTGCTTGCCTGTGAATGCATGGACGAACTGGAGCTCCATGGGCATGAGCACAGCTAGGGTTTAGGGTTTAGGGTTTAGGGTTGAGGGTTTAGGGTTTAGGGTTTAGGGTTTCCAAGGAGTGGCAGATCAGAAGCTCGGCAAGGGCCCTCATTTTCTTAAAGTTGCGGAGTCCTGAGCCTTAAGCCCTAAACCCTTGTTTTTCTTTTCATCTCGCACACTGGAACCAATGGCTTCTTAGGCAATGCGGTCGCTATAATCCCTATTAAGGACTGAGAGTATAAGGGGGAACATCCCAAGTTTAGGTTTTAGGGTTTAGGATGCTGGTGCAAGTGCCGACTGGCGTTCTTGGTAGGGTTTTTGGAATTGTCTAAGGGTAGTTGCATGGCCCCTTACTATATAAAGGGTCCCCCGTCTAAGGGCCCATAGTAAGGGACCATGTAACCAACCTTGGAAATTAGGTACCACTATTCACCTTTCTTACCTCTTTTGGGACTCATATGGGGAACCTTGATTCCCTAATTAATCCCATACAAAGAACCATGAAGGTTCTGATAATTCGGAAGTAGGCATCAAAATACTACATCCCATCAACGATGACCTCAGCGTGTTTCTCCATGTGAAGCCCAACTCCCAAACCTTAAGCCCTAAACCCTAAACCCTAAACCCTAAACCCTAAACCCTAAACCCTAAACCCTAAACCCTAAACCCTAAACCCTAGACCCTAGACCCTAGACCCTAGACCCTAGACCCTAGACCCTAGACCCTAGACCCTAAGCCCTAAGCCCTAAGCCCTAAGCCCTAAACCCAAGCCTTAAATAAACCACATTCAGCGAAAAGATGCCTCCAGAGGCCGTACCTTTCTCCTGGAGAGGAGCTGGCTAGACCCGCCGCAGGCATCTTTCAAGTGAGTCAGGGATGGGGTTGGGTTGGGGATTTAGAGGGTTGAGGGCCCCAGGCCCTAAACCCTAAACCCTATAGGGTTTGAGGGCTTTAGGGTTTCAGGGTCCGTGGGGTTTACTCGTAGGTCTTAGGATTTGGATTTGTCGTTGGCTCGGTTTTAATTGTTGCGGCGAGGACTCGGATGGGTTGGGCTGACCGGCAATACCTAAACCCTAAACCCTAAACCCTCAACCTACAGTGTTTAGGCCACTGTACATGGGTTTTCTTGTTGGTTTTCTCACATTCTGAAACCCTAAACCCTAAACCCCAAACCCCAAACCCTAAACCCTAAACCCTAAACCCTAAACCCTAAAGGCAGGAACCTCTAGGCCCTAGCCGCCCTGGCACCCTTCCGGCCCTAATCCCCTGTGTCCACTACATGCGTTTCGGGTGTTTTCCCCAAACACCTCGTAAACCCAACCCTCAACCCTAAACCCTAAACCCTAAACCCTAAGCCCTAAACCCTAAACCCTAAGCCCTGAGCCCTTAGCCCTTAGCCCTTAGCGCTTAAGCCGCCCCAAGCCCAAGCCCCCCTTCCCTCAAACCCTCCCAAGCCCCTAAATTGCCTCGCTCGAAAGCCTAAACCCCCAAAAATCCAAAACCCGAAAACCAACAAAGATCAATCCTCAACTCCATAAACCCTAAACCCTAAACCCTAAACCCTAAACCCTAAACCCTAAACCCTAAACCCTAAACCCTCTGCGCCCCAGGCGCACCCGCCAAGAACGGAAAGCTCAAGGGGTCGGAGGCCCCTCTGACGCCGTCGTTGGTGGTTCCTGCAGCTCCCGGGGGTTTAGGGTTTAGGGTTTAGGGTTTAGGTTTTAGGGTTTAGGGTTTAGGGTTTAGGGTTCAGGGTTCAGGGTTCAGGGTTTGGGGTTTGGGGTTTTGGGGTTTGGGTACCTCCTGGTAGTTCCATGTACCTATAGAGTAGAAACTTGGGCCCTGAAGCTACTACACCCTGAGGGTAGTTTCATGGGCCCTGAATAGGGTTTAGGGCTTAGCTTTTAGGGTTTCGGGTTTAGGGGTAGTTTCATGGGCCATTAATATGGTCCCTAACCTCTTTGAAAGCACTCTGATGTATGGCTTTGGGTTTCGGGTTTTGGGTTTACAGTTAACTTAACTCACTGAATGCCTCAGTCCAATGCCACAGTTTAAAGCCTAATCCTTGGACCCTATACCCGAGACCCTCACATCCTTCAACCTCACATCCTGGGCTAGGAAGGCCCTTGCGACAATCATACTTGCCTGCTGAGGAGGATCATGTTTAAGGTTTTTTGGGTTTAGGGTTTAGGGTTTAGGGCTTAGGGCTTAGGGCTTAGGATTTCTGCTTGAGCTTAGGATGAGTATTTTGGCACAGGGCGACTTGGTCAAGCCCTAGAACCCCCAAGACCCTAAAACCCAAAAACCCTAAACCCCCCCCGGGGCCCTCAAATCCTGAAAACCCTAAAGCCCCAAAGACAAAGACCCTAAAACCCTGAACCCTAAACCCCAAAGCCCCAAATCACTAAAACCCTGAACCCTAAAACCCTAAAGACAAAGGCGCTAAGACCCTGAAAACCCCAAAAACCTCTCGATGCTTGCTGTCGCGCCGCTGCCGAAGGCAGAGGCAGCTCGCGCACCCGGGCCAAAGATGCCGGGCGCAGGCCGAAAGGGCGACCTTGGATTAAGGCTTTAGGGTTTTGGAGTCTAGGGTTTGGGGTTTAGGGGGCTTTTAGGGTTTAGGGGGCTTTGGGTTTAGGGGTTTAGGGGGCTTTTAGGGTTTAGGGGGCTTTTGGGTTTAGCGGTTTAGGGGGCTGTTGCCGCTAGTTGCTTAAGAACCCCGAAAAATAAAGATAATCTTGCTTATTAAGGGTATTATAGGGGTTACTTTTATTTTTTCTTTTGGGGTTCTTAAGCAAATAGTAGTTTGGGTTGAGGGATTTAGGGCTTGGGGTTTAGGGTGTGGGTCTAGGTATTTAGGGTTGAGGGTTTAGGGTGCAAAAGGGCGACTTTGGTAATCCCCCCCCCGCCCCCCCCGAATACCCTCCACTGTTCTTGTTGCGCCTCTTCAATAGTTTCTGTGTTCCCTTGCACCCCAAACCCTAAGGCCCTAGTGAAAAGCGCTAAAAACCCAAGACCCCCAAACTCAATCGAAAAACCCTAAACCCTAACAACCCTCACCGACTGAAGCCCCAAACCCCGAGCCCTGAACTCCAATGCAACCGAAGCTCGAAAGCCAGAAGTTCTGAATCTCAAATGCCCTAAACCCTACACCCGAAACCCCAAAAAAGAACCCTAAGCAGGCGTCAGTCTCTTCTAGGGCTGAAGGGTATCTTTTTCGGGTACCTTTTTGGGGGAGAAGATATGCTGCCTGAGAATTCCAGGGTCCCCCCTCCCCCTCCGCCTCCCCCCCCCCCCCCCCCCCCCCCCCCCCCCCCCCCCTAAACTGCAAACCCTAAACCCCAAACCCTAAACCCCAAACCCTAAACCCTAAACCCTAAACCCCAAACCCTAAACCCTAAACCCCAATCCCTAAACCCTAAACCCTAAATCCCAAACCCTCACAGCCCCGAAGCCCTAAGCCGCGGAACTGCCGGTGAGGGGACGCTGCCTTGCCACTCCTTGGGGCCCTGCAAGAGGCGCCTGCGCCAGCTTGCAGCCTGAAGCCCTAAACCCTAAACCCTAAACCCTAAACCCTAAACCCTAAACCCTAAACCCTAAACCCTAAACCCTAAACCCTAAACCCTACACCCTACACCCTAAACCCTAAACCCTAAACCCTAAACCTAAACCCTAAACCTCAAACCCTAAACCTCAAACCCTAAACCCTAAACCCTAAACCTCAAACCCTAAACCTCAAACCCTAAACCTCAAACCCTAAACCCTAAACCCTAAACCTTAAACTTAAACAGCAGGGGTCTGAGAGGTTGAGGGTTGGAAGCTTGCATCTAGGGCTTTTTTTGGGGCCCCCCCTAAATTGGGGCCGCTACAGCGTCCAACCCCCAGGAGCGCCAGCAGCGGAAGACCCCTACAGCGTGCGAAAGCCCAAATTGCACCGGGGCACGATCTCCGCCTACAACGCCAAGTTCTTCGGCGGCCGACCTGCGGGGTCAATGTGGCCAGCAGGTCCTTGCGCTGGCCAGGGGTACAGGCCACCAGTGTCCTCACCACCGCCGAGGCCATGCCGAACTCCACCTCCCGCGTTGTCACAGGCGATGTGGAGCCCAAAAGTTTGGTCTGCGCGGAAGAACCTCGAAAAGGAGGACAAGTGGGAGGATTGGCCCCCTGTCACGGGAGCAACGGCACCCACCGAGGACGACGAGGAGAACTGGGGAGATTGGCAGCCTTCACCTTCCCCACCGGAGAAAAAGGCCCGTGGAAATCCCTCAGGTGCAGGATCCTCGACAGATGTGGCCAAGCCATCTGGTGCCAGCCTTCTGCGGCAGCCCCTGAGTCCCTAGACCCTAAAAACCCTAAACCAAAAACCAAAAACCCTAAACCCTAAACCCTAAACCCTAAACCCTAAACCCGACTTCCGTCAGCGAAAGTGCTCGACCAAGCCACCCTGCATCTCTAAGGGTTAGGGGACCAAAGCGTGAGATACGCCATAGACAGCCCCTTCTTTCTGGAAACTCCGAAGCCCCAAGCTTGATCTTTATAGACAGACAGACAGACAGACAGACAGACAAAGGGTGTTTACTTAGCTGCCCAAACACCATGCACTGCATCAGACGAAACCAAACAACAAATCCACCAAGCAGCCCACCGTCCGTTCCTCACTACAATTGAACGTCATGGCTCGTGAAACATACTGTGAAACAATCAGTACATGTTTAAGGACCGGGATGCCGACAAAGCTATGTTACCCGAGTCACACAGACTCACCCATCGACCGTAACGGACAGGCAGGTGGCCGGTCCACACCTGGCCGTGGGACATGCCCCGGCTTTGCCCAGGTGTGTCGTGCACCGTGGGGGGTCTTTCAGGGTTAAAACTTCCGCATCCCGTCGGGCTTTATCATCAAAGGAGTTCGAGCCGAACGCCAGCTCTGGAAATGAATGAGGAAGGAGTCTCAGGGGCGTAATCAGCGATGTGGGTCCCGTGGCCCCCAACTCAAACGACCAGCACAGGATCCTAAATCGAAGGCGAAGACCATAAGGCATGGGTTAGTCAGGGGGGTTGTGATCGCAGATCGGTTGTGCCGACATCGTCCCGTTCCACTTGGCGAGTTCACAACATGAGCATGTGACATGTTAAATGCATTCCACGGCCCGTCGAAGTTTGTTTACATCGAAGCCCCCTGCTTGCTTGATCTTTATAAACCCTACTTGGGGGGGATGGGGGATGCTAAATGAAGAAGCACGGACGGTTGTTCTGAGCATGCGGCCTGCGACAAGGGGCCATCCATCAGCTAGACCCAACCCTGAGATAAATATCGCCCAAAACCCTCGAAGCCATTTTTGCATCACCCGCACAGCAAAAGGCCACACAATCCGAACTGCGGAGACCAAAGCTCAGCCCTATATCCCCCTTGGGAATTATTTTGTGTATTTCTGTTCATACAAAACCCAAGAGGATATTAAACATATAGCTTTTATGACTTTTATTAGGGTTCTAAGTTCTAAGGGGAGTGTAGGCTCCCCCCCCCCCCCAATAAACGAAACAAAACAGGTGTTGCAGGAGGAGGACCAGGAAGAACAGGTGCGCCCCTCTCCGATTGTGCTGAGGGTTTAGGGTTTAGGGTTTAGGGTTTAGGGTTTAGGGTTTAGGGTTTAGGGTTTAGGGATTGAACGTTAAGGGGTTAGGGTATCGGGTCAAGGGTTTACCTCCTTCGGCACCCCCCAAAACTGAATGGACTTGTATGAGGGAGTTGAATCCCCAAACCCTAAACCCCAAACCCTACACCCTAAACCCCAAACCCTAAACCCTAAACGGTTTAGGGTTCAGGGTTTAGGGTTTATTGTTTGGGTTTAGGGTTCAGGTGTAGGAAGGCAGGGCTTGGGGAAGCTTAGGGCTTAGGATGTAGGGCTTTCAACCCTAGACCCTAAACCGTGGACCCTGAATCCTAGACCTTCCCTAAACCCTAAACCGTAAACCTTGGCCCTAAACCCTAAACCCAAAACCCAAGCCCTGAAACCCCTGAAGCCCTGAGCCTTGCACCCAGAGTGTCTCAGGGTAGTTGCATGGTCCCTTACTGTGGGCTCTTGGAAGGGAACATACCCCTTATCTACCCTATCAAACCAAGGGCCCCTACTTCAGAACCCTTGAAAGAAGGAAGGGGACCATACGAAGGGACCATAAAGCTACTAAGCCCTCAACCCTATACCCTAAACTCTAAACCGTATACAGCCCCAGGGCCCCTTTTTACAGAAGGTAAGGGACCATATGAAAGGACCATATAACTAGCCTAGGGGCCTAGAGAGTCGCAGGTCGCGCCGTCGACAGGTCCTGCGACCAACGGCACCTCCGCCGCAACCCCAGCACTGGGCCCAGCAGGCGATGTTAGGGTTCAGGGAACACTAAACCCTAAACCCTGAACCCGAAAGCCCAAGCCCTAAGCCCTAGAACCCTAAGCCCTAAGCCCTAAACCCTATAAGGGGGTTAAGGTTTCAGGGTGTGCGATTTCCTTCTACTGAGAACCAGCCAGTCCTAAGAGTGGTCAACAACATCGTCCCCCTCGGGCTTCGTGAGGCAGGCTGAACCCTAAGACCCTACAACTCCAAAACCCATGAACCTTAACCGTGGAACCTAAACCCTAAAACCCCCCTGTAAAACCCGAAAGCCCAGGGAGGGTTTCGAAAGCCCCGTTCCCCAAGGCCCTCAACCTAAACCCCAAAGCGCTAAAATACCTAAAGCTCCAAACCCCCTTAACCCAACCCCCCAAAGCCCTAAACCCTAACACCCCAGACTAAACCCCAAACCTTACCTGGGTTTTTTTGGAGTACTATACTTTAATACTTTGTTTGGTCCTGGGTTCCTATTTTAGCTACTTATACCTAAACAGTAAATGCTTTTTTCCAGGGTCTACTCCAAAGTAGGGTTATTACACCCTACACCCTACACCCTAAACCCTAAACCCTAAACCCTAAACCCTAAACCCCAAAAAAAACCTATAAACCCTACAAACCCTATCAACCCTAAATCCTGAACCAAAATCCTGTCACCGCCAAACCCGAGCGCCTAGGCCGGCCCAGTCCCCCATCCGGACGCCAGGGAACTCCGCGTGCAGGCGCCAGAATTTGGCCGTTTTCGGGGCTTTGGGGGGCAGGGGGGGGGGTGGGGGGTTTAGGGTTTAGGGTTTAGGGTTTAGGGTTTAGGGTTTAGGGTTTAGGGTTTAGGGTTTAGGGTTTAGGGTTTAGGGTTTGGGTTTAGGGTTTAGGATTTTGGGGTTTTCGTTTTAGGGCTTTGGGGGTTGAATTTAGGGTTTCTCGGGTTTGGGGTTTTAGGGTTTTAGGGTTTAGGACTTAGGAAGAGGGAAGCGTGGCAGACCCACCCCAAGACCGTCCGCTTACAACCCTCATGCGAGTTCACGCTTTTCACAAAGCAACTGCAAGTTGATTTCGGCAAGCACCTTGTGATGTCTGTGCTTTCGGAGCTGCAGTTGTGCATGCTGGCTTGCAGCAGTTTTCCGCATGCTGTCGTGTAGTTTCTATGGGAAGCTTGGGACACTTCGGTCACCTGGGTCACTTGGAACACCTGGGTCACTTGGGACACTTGGAGCTTGAGACACTTAACACTCAGACCCTGACCTCTAAACCCTGAACCCAAAACCCAAAAGCCTTTCCTTCTTGGACCCGATAGCCCCAGTCGACGTATCCTGAACGTAAATCACAAGCTCCTTAACCCCACAATCCATAGTTCCCTTATCGGGTTTTGGGTTTTAAGGTTTGGGGTGTAAGGTTTAGGGTTTAGGGTTTGGAGATTAGAGTTAAGTTTTTTGAAATGTTTGTATAAACCCGAAAAGGCGTATTGAAATGAGAGGTTTAGTCAAGGTTCTCCCCTGGTTACGAATGATCGTACAAACACGCAGAGGAATATTGAGTGTCCTTTTGATTCTAAGGTTATTGTACTCTATCTAGCCCCCACGCTTGCCCCAAATACGAAACCATGTATAGCGGGCCAGGACCCCCCCCCCCCCCCCCCCCCCAAATATAAAACAAAACCTAAGCCCTGCACCCTAAACCCTAAACCCTAAACCCAGAACACCTCATCGTGCCATGCAGGCCTTCCTGGCCACCCTGCTGAACTTTATCTGGCCGGGGCCTTCGTACGAACACGGACCCGGTAGGGGTTTAGGGTGTAGGGTTTAGGGTTTAGGGTTTAGGGTTCAGGGTTTAGGGTTTAGGGTTAGGCTGCTTGCCGGGCTGTTGATAGTTGTTCCTTGACACCAAATGGCGGGGGGAAATTGCTGGTGTCTCCTTGCATGTCTCATGCCCTAAACTGTGAGCCCTCAACCCCAGACCCGACACCCTAAACCCGAAACCCAGATGGGGATGCTTGGGCCTCAAAACATGTAGATGATTGGGGATCCGGTTCTTCGTTAAGGGCTTCGGGGTTCTGGGCGAGCTTCAACCCCAGCCCGGAACACCAATCCCCGAAACCCTAAGCGCCCAAACCCTAACCCTTCACACCCGAAGAGGGTTCAGGGTTCTGGGTTATAGGGGATGAACTACATTGCGGAACCTCCTCGGTATCTGAACTAAATGGCAAGGAACATGCTCTAAAAGACGCGCGGCCAATCCCTGCATTTGGAGGATCCTTTTCTACACCCTGACGAACCTCCCGCCTCCCGAATAAGCCTTAGGCAAGAGGCATTTGGACCATGCTACGGTAATTTGGGTAGGGAGTGTAGGGTGTTAGGGCTTAGGCTGTTTTAGGCTTTTTGGGGGCCTGAACCATATAAACCCATAACCCTAAACCCCAACCACCTGAACCCTAAACCCTGAACCCTAAACCACCCTAAACCCTAAACCCTAAACCCCTAACTGCCTTGCGGACTCTGTTCCATCCCCAATGAGCGCCCCTGCAAGGTTGGAGCCATTCGCGGGGCTGCTTCCGAATCCTCCCAAGGAGGTCCAGCCTAGGGTTTAGGGTTTAGGGTTTAGGGTTTAGGGTTTAGGGTTTAGGGTTTAGGGTTTAGGGTTTAGGGTTTAGGGTTTAGGGTTTAGGGTTTAGGGTTTAGGGTTTAGGGAGCACCACAATCGAGAAGGAAGAGCTCTTGAAGTTCTGGAAGGACATCCAAGAGAAGCCCAAGCTTCGAAACCCTAAACCCTAAACCCTGAACCCTAACCCTAAACCCTGAACCCTAAACCCTAAACCCTAAACCCTAGACCCTAAACCCTAAACCCTAAACCCTAAACCCTCACCCGCCAAAAGGTGTTGCAGCTCGTCAACAGACACCCAACGCAGCCGGACAACGCGGACGCGAGCCTGAACAAGGGCGCCGAGGCCTTTAGGGTTTACGGTTTAGGGTGTAGGGTTTCTGGTTTGGGGTTTGGGGTTTGGGGTTTAGGGTGATGGGTCTTGGGGTTCAGTGTTCTTCAGGGGGCTTGTCTCAGGGTAGTTTCATGGCCCTTAGCAGGGTCCCTTTTACCTCCTTTAAAGGGTTCTTCAGGGCTTGATTAGGTTTAGGGTTTTAGGGCTTAAGGTTTAGGGTTTTAGGGTTTCAGGGTTCAGGGTTTAGGTTCCTAGGGCTTTAGTGTTTTAGTCCCTAAAGCCCTAAAGCCCTAAAACCCTAAAACCCTAAAACCCTAAAACCCTAAAACCCTAAACCTAAAACCCTGCAAACCCCTGGACCCCAAACCCCAAACTCAAGTTCAGGCGGGCTTCAGAGCTGCAAGGGGGTGCAGGGATGAACTCCAAGAGTTCCTCCACAAAGCCTTCGGAAGCATTCCAGCTACTGCTTCATGTGCCCTCTTCTCCAGGCACTCCACCACGCTGCAGCATTCAGGCTGTCTGTGGAGGCCTTTCTTAGCCTGCAGCCGAGCTTTGGGCCTTGGCGCATGATCTACGGTGCCATCGACTTCGGGCCCGTCATGAAGGCGTGCCTTCGAGCCTCAGAACATGTTCCAGTTGGAGGCTCCGCTACGACACCGACGACGACATACCCCCCTTGAGCCCCCCTCCCTGAAGAACTCTATCACCCATTGGGATCCGTTTATGTTTGGAAACCATTTTTCAGGAAGCCTTCCTAAACCCTAAACCCTAAACCCTGAACTGGGGGTCCCTTTTATGTTCGGAACCCCCACCCCCCCCCCCCGTTTAGGGTCCGGGGGGGAGCTAGGCATGAGTCGTGGCGCGGCAAGTTTGTTTAGGGGTTTAGGGTTGTCGTTGATAGTCACTTTGTACTTTGCGCCGGTTGATTGCATCAGTGGCCGGCCGGGCAAACCCTAAACCCTAAGCCTAAAGCCCTAAGCCCTAAACCCTAAACCTTGTATCAGTGGCCACATGGGGCTGTATGTGTGCGGCAGGTCAGTTTTGAAGCCGGTATCTGCATGCCCGAAGCCATCCAACTCGCACCCCAATCCCAGACTCCCAGACCGGGTTTGGGGTTTGTGGTTTAGGGTTTAGGGTTTAGGGTTTAGGGCCCCAAGTCTCGAAAGCCCAGATTGAACCGAACAGTTCCTGACCCCTAAGCCCTAAAGCCCTAAATTCCTTTGTCCCCAAACCCTATAGCCTCACGGAGAAGCCCTACTCGCCCTAACTCTAAACCCTAAGGCCTAAAGCCTAAGCCCTAGACCCCAAACCCAAAACCCTAGACTCAAAACCCTAAACCCTAAACCCTAAACCCTAAACCCTAAACCCTAAACCCTAAACCCTAAACCCTAAACCCTAAACCCTAAACCCTAAACCCTAAACCCTAAACCCAAGCACCTGCAGGTCTCCCGCATGTACCTTGCCAGCTCCGAGCTCATGCCGGGGCTCCCCTCTGGCTACGCAGCGAGGGCCCGAGGTTTAGGGTTTAGGGTTTAGGGTTTATGGTTTAGGGTTGGGGGTTTGGGGTTTGGGGTTTAGGGTTTGGGGTGAGGGGTTTCGGGTTTAGGGTCACCAACCGGCGATGGCAATTTGGGGTGTGGGTGCTTCGGGTTTTGCGTTGCCGTAAACGATGAAGCAAAACTTCCACTCCTTTCTCTCCAGCTCTGCGACTAGGCTTGGGCATTTTGAGCCCTTCGGAACATATTCCTACACCCCAGTAGCCATTTTACTTTATAAGTACCAAGTAAGCCCCCAAGAAGGGATAACATAGCATGCCCCAATCCTGCAAACCCTAAAAACCTGACAAGGCCAGTTTGCCTGCCTCCCCCCAAAACCCTAAACCCTAAACCCTAAGCCCTAAACCCTAGACCCTCGACCAAAAACCCTAAACCCTACACCCTAAACCCGAAACCCAGGGAGACGAGGGCGCACGGGCCCTAGCCTTGCCTGGAAGCCGTGGCTCTTAGCCCTTTATCAGGGTTTGGGGTTTAGGATTTAGGGTTGGGGTCTGCCGGGTTTTTGAGCGGGTTTTTGATGGGGCTTTTCGGGTTCTTAGGATTTTTAGGGTTTAGGGTTCCGGGTTTAGCGTGCCCTTGACCATGAACATAGCACGCAACCTCAACCCTGCGTGAACCGTCATCACCCTTATCCCGCAATCCATCTTTTACACGAAGCCCTGACCGTCACAGCCCTTGACATTAACCCCAACTTCAACAATACAAGATATTCCGTAACCCGCTACCCTAAACCCTAAACCCTAAACCCTAAACCCAAAGCCCTAAACCCTAAGCCCTAAACCCTAAACCCTAAACCCCCTGAACCTAATATGTAAGGGGTGCCGGGTACGTAGCGCTCATCAGGATTTCGTGAGCCAGGGCAGACATCAGCTTGAGCTAATTCCTGGGTTTGGGAGTTTAGGGTTTAGGGTTTAGGGTTTAGGGCTTAGGGCTTTTGGTTCTGGGTTCCTATTATAGCTATATGCCTAGTTATTTTACTTCGAGCATCCACACCTTGCTCCTCGTTAAACAAAGACACATTGATCCAAATACGCTTTCTTAGCTTTTTGCTTGCAACTGGGGTTGGGCACTCCAGGGAGTCTCTGGGGCTGGGCATTCCCTGGGTCTGGTCACTTGGGCACTCCAGGGAGTCTCTGCGGTTGGGCACTCTAGGGAGTCTGGGCAGGGAGTCTTTGGGGTTGGGCACTCCAGTATTTTGCAGGGTCTCTGGGGTTGGGCACTCCAGGGAGTCTCTAGGAGTAGACGGGCGAGGAGAAGAGTTGAGTTTAAACTCTAACAAACCCCACACCGAAGCTGGGTAAAAAGTATACGTTTTTTTCCCAGGGTCTACTCCAAAGTAGGGCTTCAAAACAAAGGGATGACGCGTTCACACTTTAGACATAGCATCTGGTATAGGGTTCTTCAGGGAGGGGGGTTCAAGGAGGGCACGTAACCCAAAGGTCCCGAATGCTCCCCACTACTCCCTAGGGCTCCCTAAGCTTCCCTAAGGTTCTCTAGGTACCTAGCTCCCATAACCCTAAAACCTAAACTTTTGAACCCTATAACACATAATCCCCCCTCCCTTAAGAACCCCATACATCTGGCATTTGCTGATGGACATCCCGGTCGAGACGATTGCAAAGTTGTATGCCGGAGCTATAGGATGCGGGGGCTTCGCATTCAGACCTTGGGATGGTTTAGGGTTTAGGGGTTTAGGGTTTAGGGTTTAGGGGTTTAGGGTTTAGGGTTTAGGGCTTAGGGCTTAGGGTCCAGGGGATTTACTTGCAAGGACACCGCATGCTGATTTTAGTATTCTTTGCTGTTGCGCCAACGGCGAGGGTGCTGGGTAGATCCCGAAGGATCCATGTACTTATGTAGTACAAACTTGAGCTCTAAAGCTACAAGACAGGAAATTGTTGAAGGCCCAAGTATATACAAAATGCTTACACGCAAAAACATGCCAAGAAATCGGGGGGGGGGGGGGGGGGCTCCGAAAATCAGAGGACCCTTGCTGCATGTCCTCAAAGGGGGACTACGCCATACCATAGCATTTGGGGGGGCACTTCAGGGGCTTATAAGTGGTGGGTCATAAGTACAGTTATAATTGGCTAATAAGTACCATGAACCTCCAAGTGAGCTTGGAGCTTTGCAAATGAAACCGCAACCCTGATCTCCAAACCTCAGACCGCAAAGCCCTAACCCTAAACCCCAAGCCCCAAAGCCTAACCCCCAAAGGCTAATCCCTAAACCCCAAACCCTAAACCAATCCCTACCTCCCCGCCCCGCCCAACCCCCAACCCTAAACCCTAAACTGTGTAATCTCCCCTGTTTGTGAAGCCGAAGTCACATCTCGTAGAGCTGCCCCCTAAACCCTAAACCCGAAACCCGAAACCCTAAACCCTAACTCACAAGGCCGGCTCTGGCGAGGCGGCCAGCGCCGGGAAGGCCTTGGCGAAGAGGGCGCTGGCGGTGCCATGGCTCAGGGTTTGGGGGCTTTTGGGGGGAAGGGGGGGGGGGCTTTAGGGTTTAGGGTTTAGGGTTTAGTGTTTTGGGTCTAGGGTCTCGGGTTTTGGGTTTTAGGGTTTGGGGGCTTTGGGGGGAGGGGGCGAGATCAGGGCAAAATTGAGGGTTTAGGGCTTAGGCTTCACAGGTTTTAGGGTTTTTGGGGTTCCAAGGCTTCCGGCTTTAGGTTTTCTTGGGGGGTCTTGGGTGCTTTAGGGGTTTAGGTTGAATTAATGTTGGGGAGTGTCGGGTTTAAGGTTTACCGGTAGGCTTTTGGTGGTTTGTTGTAGGGTTTAAGGGTTGGGGTTTCGGTCCTTTGTGGTTTAGGGCACAAGTGATTGCTAGGGTTTGGCTTGGGGGCTTGGGGGCTTCTTAGGGTAGGGCTTTGGACTTTTTGGTTTTGAGATATTTTTTATCGGGTTTTTAGGGCTTTAGGATTTTCAGTTTGTTTTTTTGGGTTTGAGTCTTTGGGGTTGTGGACCTTCGCTGTGTTATTAGGCTTTCTGAGTTTATATAGGGGCTTTGTGGCGTTTAGGGCTGGGTTTGAGGTTTGGTGGCTACAGGTTAGGGTCAGGTTAGGGTTGGGGTTTACGGTTTAGGGTTAAATTAGGGCTTTGGGTATTAAGGGCTTCTGGGCTAGTGGGCTTCAGGTGTTTAGTTTTTGGCTTAAGGCGGGGGGGGGGGGCGGTGTGTCGGGCTCAGAGCTTTGTAAACCAGATGATTCTCGCGCATGTTGAAAAAGATTGCCCACCAGGTCCTCCTGCTGCTGCTGTTTTATGACACCAAGGTTGGCCAAAACCTTTAAACCTTTAAACCCGAAGCCCTAAACCCTAAACCCGAAGGTTTGGGGTTTAGGTTGACTACGTCTAGGTTGCCTTCCGAAGTTTTTCGCGACGTTTCTTCAGGACTTGACCGGCTTCCCTCGAAGCGTTGGGGCTTCCGTTCTTCGTGGTACCCTAAGCCCCAAGCCCGCAACCCTCCTGAACCCTAAACCCTAAGCCCTAAGCCCGAAGCCCGAAGCCCGAAGCCCTAGGCCCTAAGCCAGGCTTGGGCCGAGAGTTGTTGGTTCTGAGCCCGGAAGATCCCTTTGGGGTTTTAGGGTTTAGGGCCTTTAGGGCTTTTAGGGCTTTAGGGCTTTTAGGGCTTTAGGGCTTTAGGGTTTTAGGGCTTTGGGGCTTTTAGGGTTGTTGGGTTTTTGTTGGGGGCGTGTTTTGGGGTTTGGGGTTTTAGGGCTTTAGGGCTTTAGGGCTTTAGGGTTTAGGGTTTAGGGTTTAGGCGACTCAGCAGGCCTGCATGAAGGCTTTTGAGTGTGTTGTTGGGTCAGGGTGGGTTTCGGGTTTCGGGTTTCGGGTTTAGGGTTTAGGGTTTAGGGTTTAGGGTTTAGGGTTTAGGGCCTCCGTACCATGCCTGATAGGGTTTCCAGGTTTGCGGTGCAGGGTTTAGGGTTTAGGGTTTAGGGTTTTGGGTTTAGGGTTTAGGGTTTAGGGTTTAGGGTTAGGTACCTAGGGAACCTTAGGGAGGCCTTTAAAGCATCAACGCCCTAAATGCCCTGAAAACGAAACCCTACAAAGCCACACCACACCCGCTAGCCCTAAAGGCAAACTATACCCTACAAGCCCATCCTCCGTTCGATTCCATAGGGTTGTGGGTTTCAGGTTTATGGTTTGGGCTTTCAGGGTCTGAAATCCCATCTTTGTTCCCAGGGAGCCCCTTAGTTCAGGAATATACCTTAAATCATATAGGGATCCTTAATATGATGTAAGTTATCTTCCTTTTAAATCATATAGGGATCCTTGATATGATAAAGGTATCTTCCTTATTTTACGGATATTGGGCTCTTTGGGCTGGGTGCAATATTATAGAGTAGAGTATATAATATTACCCAGAGTGTCCATCTGTAGTACCACTATGGAATTAGGCACCAAAAACCATACTAAGTAGGGTTTTGATGTACATAATTCCATACTAGTACTACTGATGGACCTACAAACCCTGAACCCTAAAACCCGAAACCCCCCTTGAACCCAATACTAAATAGGGCTTGGAGGTACAGAAAGGGTGTTGGGCTCTTTGGGTTGGGAGGAGTACCCAGACCTGGCCGCCGCCTTTGCCACCTTGGCCGACCCTCGCCAGAGCTCTGCCGGGGATTGCGCAGGGGGCCTCAGCCGCAATGTTTGGGGCTTAGGGTTTAGGGTTATTTAGGGTTTAGGGTTTAGGGTTGAGTGGGTTTGTGTTTCAGGGTTTAGGATTTAGCAGTTAGGGTTTTGAGCATGGCTACCAGAGGGCATGTAGGCGTCTATGCGACATGTGATTCGAAATGATACTTTGGGCCTTCAAAGACTTCAAAGACGTCATTTTGAGCAAAATTCTTTCTCGGTCAGGAACGCCCTTGCCCGCAAGCCGCGCAGTGCAAGCTCAGGCTTGCGCCTGGAGCGCTTGAGGTCCTTCACGACACAGCCGAGACATTTGTTGCACACTACTTGTCGAAGGCCTAGACACTCTCAGCTCACAGGAAGGCTCAGACGTTGGAGGTCAAGGACATGAAGCGCCTCAACCGGACATGCGTCCGGCTGACCCGGTGGACAAGGACTCGGCAAAGCCGACAAGCAACGCTTTGGGTTTAGAGTCCGGGCTTATTCATGCAGGGCTGAACCCTAGGGTCTAGGTACCTTACTATTATATACTTGAGACCCCGAAGTCCCTATAGGAGGTACTTTAAGGCCCAAGCCCTATTTTAGGTACATGGGCCCTTACCAGTGCTTAAGAACCAGAAACGAACAAAAAACATACAATCCCCATATTACCCTTATGGGGAAGAATGTTTTTGTTTTCTGTTTTGGGGGGGGGGGGGGTTCTTTGCCAAACAGTAGATAAGGTGTAGAATCTGGTTTAGGTCGGCTCCTTGGGGTCGCTCGGCGTGCCCAGCTGGAGCTTCAAGACTTTGGGCTATGGGCCCTCATATAGAAGCCAGGCCGACCGAAGGGCCCCTAAACTTTAAACCTTGAACCCCTAAACCCTAAACCCTGAACCCTAAACCCTAAACCCTAAACCCTGAACCCTGAACCCTAAACCCTAAACCCTAAATCCTAAACCCTAAACCCTAACTTCCCACCCGTTCCAGCACTGGGATGGATGAGAATAAGACGCCCTAACCTCAAACACGAAGCTCCAAATCCTGAGCCCGGAAGATAACCCTATAAACCCTAAGCCCTGCTGGCACCAGTTCTGTGCGAAGCTGAACTTTTCTGTGAAGCATACCTTGATGTTTTTTGAAATCCGAACGGGGTTCCTCTGGGTTTATGAGGGAAATGTGGAGGGTTTAGGGTTTAGGGTTTAGGGTTTAGGGTTTAGGGTTTAGGGTTTAGGGTTTAGGGTTTAGGGTTTAGGGTTCAGGGTTTAGGGTTTAGGGTTTAATTAGGGTTTAGGGGGGGGAGGGGGAAAGTTTTGGGAACTGGCATTTTGATCAACGGCCGTGTAGCATCCCTACCTCTCGTGGCTTCCTGGCAAGTAGTTGACTACGCTTCGCGGTTAGGGTTCAGGGTTCAGGGTGTAGGGTTTAGGGTTAGGGTTTAGGGTTTAGGGTTTAGGGTTTAGGACTAGCTGATGGCCGTTGCATGATATGCCAATCAATACCTCACCAAAAGGTCCTACGCCGACGCACGCTTGCCTTCTGGGCCCAAAGCCCACCAATTTAGGGTTTAGGGACTAAACCCTAAACCCTAAACCCTAAACCCTAAACCCTAAACCCTAAACCCTAAACCCTAAACCCTAAACCCTAAACCCTAAACCCTAAACCCTAAACCCTAAACCCTAAACCCTAAACCCTAAACCCCAATTCCTAGACCCCAAGCTCCAAGCCCAAACGGCGCCCCGAGTCGCTCGACACACCCAGGCCTATGCCGCCCTGGCGGCACCGTTGCATTTCCCGCGGCTCCTCAGGGCCATCCTGCAGAAGCTACAGGATCACAGTCGGGTTTAGGGTTTAGGGTTTAGGGTTTAGGGTTTAGGGTGGTTATGCAGGCTCGGGGTTAGGGGATTGAGTTGTTTGTAGTAGTGGGTTTTCGTGGTTTACAGGGTTTGTAAGGGCTTCGTGTTAATAGTTCTAGGGGTTTATACGGGTCAGGGGTTTTAGGGGTTGGAGGATCGGTTTCTAGTGTTTAGGGTCTAAGGGGGAAAGGTTCATCTAGGGGCTTTGAGAGGGGTTTGTAGGATGTCTTTTCGGGGTTTGTAGGGGTGTTACGGTTCAGGGGATTTCGGGATGTGAGGTTTGTTTGTTTTTTGGTCTTCCTTTTTTTTTGCGGGGGGGGGGGGGGGGGGGGGGGGGGGGGGGGGTGTTGGAAGCCTTCATGACCTTGTAGGTTGAGAGAGCTCACCGTTCTTGAGGGGACACTGGAATTCGGGTGTATGCGTTAAGGTTCTGGGGTCTGGGGATTTAGGGTTTCGGGGGTAGGGATTTAAGGTTTGGGGCTTAGGGTTCTGGGGTGTGGGGTTGTAGGCTTGTAGGGTTTAGGGTTCTAGGGGTTGGGGGATTTTGAGACTAAAGTTTGGTTTAGGGTTTAGGGTTTAGGACTCAACCTTAGGGTTTGGGGTGATTAGAGATTTTGGCTCCAGGGTGGTTTGGGAGTTTAGGGTTTTTGGTATTTAGAGTACGATGGGTGGCATCGACCTGTTCTGGGCAAGACCCGGGCCTTCACGCGACGGCCGTGGTACTCCATTCTTGCGGCTGGTCACGTCCCAGAGACTTCTTGCGGCACGCAGCACGACGCTTTCGGCTTGTGCGTGCGCGGCTTAACGTCTGCTTTCCGACGCCTTTTCCTGGAAGACTATACCGATGACATCGATGGCCCTAAACCCTAAACCCTAAACCCTAAACCCTAAACCCCAAACCCCAAACCCCTAAACCCTAAACCCTAAACCCTAAACCCTAAACCCCTAAACCCCTAAACCCCTAAACCCCTAAACCCCTAAACTGCGCTTTGTTGCCGGCACCCTCGCACGAGCCGGCCGACTTCGTGGCGGCACGCTCTGCCACCCTCTGGTCTCAACATAACCCTTACCCTGAACCTTCAAAACCCTCAACAATTAACACAATAACCCTTAAAAACTCCCCTAAACCCTTGATAACCTCGACCCGCGAACCATCACGAACAAAAAACCCAACCCCCCCCCCCCCCCCATATGGGGTTTCCGAAAATAGGGACCCCTAATATAGACCCCCAAATGGTACGTAAGATTCCCGTATAACAAGAACCCAAATCAGGTACCCCTATTCTCGAACCCCCTCCCCCCCCAATTTGTGTCCGAAACTTGCGAATAGCCTGTTTCTGGAGGTTTTTGTAGGGCTTTATAGGAGTTGCTGGACGTCCGAAACTTCCTTAAAGGACACAGCTGCACCCTGAGCCCGCTGAGCCCTACAAACCCTACAAACCCTACAAGCCCTAAGCCCCGAAGAAGCCCTAAGCCCCAAACCCTAAAAAGCCGAACCCTAGTACACCTTATAAGAACCCCTACTTCCAGGAGTTATGTGTGTAGGGTTTAGGGTTTAGGGTTTAGGGTTTAGGGTTTTGGGTTTTGGGTTTAGGGTTTAGGGTTTAGGGTTTAGGGTTTAGGGTCTAGCCCTGGACCGGAGAAGCCCTGTAAACCCTCGAAGCCCTACACCCCAAAGCAAACCCAAGAACAGCGGGAAGGGTGCCCCCCTTCTATACCCTACGCAAGCTAAACCCTAAGCCCCAAACCCCAAACCCTGATTACCTAAACCCTAAACCCTAAACCCCAAACCCTGAATACCTAAACCCAAAACCCTAATCCAAAAACCCGAAACCCCCAAGAGCAGGAGCCAGGGTACCCCATCCTCCTCTACGGCCTGGTGGTGCGGACGTCCAGCTTCCGGAAATTCTGCGCCAGCAGCCCGGAGAAGGCGCGGGCTGGGGGGGGCGCCTTGGGGGGTTTTCAATAGGGTCTAGGTTTTAGGGTTTGGGGGTTTGGGGTTTGGGTTTTTGGGTTTGGGGTTTTTGGATTTTTGGGTTTTTGAGTTTTTGGTTTTTTAGGTTTTTAGGTTTTTGGGTTTTGGGTTTTTGGGTTGAGGGGTTGAGGGGTTCAGGGGTTGAGGGGTTGAGGGGTTGAGGGTTTGGGGTTGTAGGGTTTTGGGCAGAGTATATGAGGGGTACATGGCGGGAGATAGGGTTCCCGATTTAATGGCCCGCATCAAGGGGCCCCATGTATACCTACCCCAAGAGGCGCTTTTTTTGGGGCGTAGAGAGAAAAGGCCTCGAGGGTTGACAGGGTGCTTTCGCGGGTGGGGTGAAAGGTATATATCTTAGATTAGTCATATGAAGTAGGGTTTATATTTCTGTTTTTGGTGAGTGTATATAAGGTTCCTTTTGTATACTGGTGAATGTATATATTTGGTGTCCTTTTGGGGGTACAAGAAATATAAACCCTGCTTCATATGGGCCCTTAATGTGGCCCATGGCCTCCTTTAAAGGGCTCTGGGGAAGGGGCTCTTGGGTTGCCGGCTCGGGTTTGTGGCACGGGGCTTAGGACGTCTTAGGGTTTATGAGGGTTGAGGGATTAGAGGGGTGGCCTTGGGGCCAAAGTCTTTGCGGAAACTCAGAGATTCGGGCGAAGGGCTGCAAAACAACTGAAGTTGTGGATGCTCATTTGGTGGTTTACGATGAGGCGCCTTATTGAAGTCCTTATTATGAGAAGGGGATCCTATTATTTGGGATTCTATCAGTGTCCCCCATTATCGTAAACCCCCTTTTCTGGCGGAGGGCGGCGAGAGAGGGGTCTTGACGCTCCTGACAGCCTGCATCAATCCCGAAAAGCCCCAAAGACTGATGTCCTAGAAGCTCCTAAACCTCTTAAAGCTCCGGAAACGTCCTAACCGTCCCAAACCTCCTAAACCCCCCGAAGCCCCCGAAGTGTCCTAGCCATCCCAAGCCTGCTAACCCCCCCCCCAAATCCACCCTAAAGTCCTAAACCTAAGTCTCCTAAACCCCTCTAAGCCCTTAGCAACCCCAAGCCCTCGCCAAAGAGCCAATACCCTTTGAGAATAAGGAATGCCTTAAATCATATCAAGAATTCCCTATGAAATTATGCAATTTAAGGTATATCCCTGAACTAAGGGTTATTGGGCTCTCTGGTTTTGCCCTAAACCCTAAACCCTAAACCCTAAACCCTAAGCCCTAAGCCCTAAGCCCTAAGCCCTAAGCCCTAAGCCCTAAGCCCTAAGCCCTAAGCCCTGACCCTAAGCCCTTAAACCCGACCTCAGGTGCTGCCCGCAGTGCTGGAAGCGCTCAGC